CCACCTAAATCCCCATCTGCATCCTGCCTCCCATCTCTGGTGCCTGCTCCCAATGGCCCCTAATGCCCCCCCCATATAACATCACCTTGCCGTGGCCCTGGCTGGGTTCAATGTGCCCCCCTCTTTAACACCCCCCTGCCATGGCCAAGGGGGGGGGGGGGTTAAACCCACCCCCATTTAACACAACCCATCCATGGCCCCAGGATGGGTTTTATTGTGCCCCCCCCATATCAATGTTGCAGCCCCAGGGGTGGTTTTCAATGCCCCCCCCCCTTACAGCATCACAGCAGAAGGGACCTGCCCCAAGCATGGGGGTCCCCAAATTCTTCAATCTCTGCTCCTGATTCATGCCCCCCCCCCCAAGGGGTGATCCCCACATCCCTTAGGATCAGGCGCTCCCCTTCCTCCCACCTCCAATCCGTGTTCAGGACCCTGGGATGGGTGGAATAAAACCATTTTACTGCTCCCTTTTTGGGGTGCCCCCCCCCCCCCAAAGGAAGCAATGGGGGGGGGGGGGGTGATTCCTCACTCCTGGAGCAGGTCGAAGATGTCGGGGTCGACGCTGGCGCAGCGCAGGCAGGCGCGGAGCTGCGGTGCCGTGGCGCGGGCCCCGTGGCGGCGGCTCCAGTCCCGGAGCATCTCGAAGCTCTGGAGCACGAGGTTGTGGGGATGATCCTCCCGGATCTGCTCCAGGCGGCTCTTCCCCAGCCCCAGGCAGGCGATGCCGACCTCCTGCCACTCCCGGCCCAGGAGCTGAGCCACCCGCATCAGCTCCCGCTCCGAGAGGCGTCGAGGAGGAGGCGGGGACGGATGCAGGGATGCAGGCGCAGCATCCTCATCCTCCTCCTCCATGGTAACGGATGCGTCGCCATCCGGCGGGAGCTGGAAGCGCTGGACCAGGTCGAGGCGGCCCACACGGCGCAGGAGCCCCGCGGTGATGGCCAGGGAGCGGGATGGGAAGCGTTGGAGCAGGAGGGAGCAGAGCTCCGGGCGGGAGGCGGGAGCCAGAATCCCGCTGGGAATGTGGTCCCCAAGCAGGAACTTGAAGCGATGCAGCTCCTCCTCGCTCAGCTCCTCCTGCAGCGCCAGCAGCTGGGACCGCTCCGAGGCTGACATTGGGGTGGGGGCATCAGCATCCGATGGGGAGCTGGGGAGGGGGGGGGAATCAGAGCCCAATGGGGATGGGGGGGAATCAGAGCCCAATGGGGATGGGGGGGAATCAGAGCCCAATGGGGATGGGGGGGGGATCAGAACCCAATGGGGATGGGGGGGAATCAGAACCCAATGGGGATGTGGGGGGGATCAGAACCCAATGGGGATGGGGGGAATCAGAACCCAATGGGGATGTGGGGGGGATCAGAACCCAATGGGGATGGGGGGAATCAGAACCCAATGGGGATGTGGGGGGGATCAGAACCCAATGGGGATGGGGGGGATCAGAACCCAATGGGGATGGGGGGGATCAGAGCCCAATGGGGATGGGGGGGATCAGAACCCAATGGGGATGGGGGGGAATCAGAACCCAATGGGGATGTGGGGGGGATCAGAACCCAATGGGGATGGGGGGGATCAGAGCCCAATGGGGATGGGGGGGGAATCAGAACCCAATGGGGATGGGGGGGATCAGAACCCAATGGGGATGTGGGGGGGATCAGAGCCCAATGGGGATGTGGGGGGAATCAGCACCCAATGGGGATGGGGGGGGATCAGAACCAATGGGGAGCTGGGGATGGGGGGAGGGAATCAGAACCCAATGGGGATGGGGGGGGATCAGAGCCCAATGGGGATGGGGGGAATCAGAACCCAATGGAGATGGAGGGGATCAGAACCCAATGGGGATGGGGGGGATCAGAACCCAATGGGGATGGGGGGGATCAGAACCCAATGGGGATGGGGGGGGGAATCCACACCCAATGGGGATGGGGGGGGGAATCAGAACCCAATGGGGATGGGGGGGAATCAGAACCCAATGGGGAGCTGGGGATGGGGGGTATCAGAACCCAATGGGGATGGGGGGGAATCAGCACCCAATGGGGATTGGGGGGATCAGAACCCAATGGGGAGCTGGGGATGAGGGGGGGAATCAGCACCCAATGGGGATGGGGGGGAATCAGAACCCAATGGGGATGGGGGGGAATCAGAACCCAATGGGGATGGGGGGGATCAGAACCCAATGGGGATGGGGGGGAATCAGAACCCAATGGGGATGGGGGGAATCAGCACCCAATGGGGATGGGGGGGGGATCAGAACCCAATGGGGATGGGGGGGAATCAGAACCCAATGGGGATGGGGGGGGAATCAGAACCCAATAGGGATGGGGGGGAATCAGAACCCAATGGGGATGGGGGGGGGATCAGAACCCAATGGGGATGGGGGGAATCAGCACCCAATGGGGATGGGGGGGGGAATCAGAACCCAATGGGGATGGGGGGGGATCAGCACCCAATGGGGATGGGGGGGAATCAGAACCCAATAGGGATGGGGGGGGAATCAGAACCCAATGGGGATGGGGGGGAATCAGCACCCAATGGGGATGGGGGGGATCAGAACCCAATGGGGAGCTGGGGATGAGGGGGAATCAGCACCCAATGGGGATGGGGGGGAATCAGAACCCAATGGGGATGGGGGGAATCAGAACCCAATGGGGATGGGGGGGATCAGAACCCAATGGGGATGGGGGGGAATCAGAACCCAATGGGGATGGGGGGGAATCAGAACCCAATGGGGATGGGGGGAATCAGCACCCAATGGGGATGGGGGGGGTTAACCCCACACCACAGGGGTCTCACTGGGGTGTCCCCCCCCCCCAATGACGACCCGGTCACCATCGTGCCTCGTGACCCCCCCATTGTTCCTCAGCCCGGATCCCGCCCCGGTCCCCGCCATCTCCCCCCCCCCGTTCCGGATCTCCCCATTTCCGCCCCATTTCCCCCCCATTTCCCCCTCATTCCCCCCCATTTCCCCCCATTTCCGCCCCATTTCCCCCCCATTTCCCCTCATTCCCCCCATTTCCCCCCATTTTCGCCTCCCCCCCGGTACCGCTTCCGGTTCCCGCGCTCAGCGCACTCTCCCGCCAAGGTGTGGCTTGGTGGGGGGGGGGGCGTGGCTTGGTGGGCGTGGCTTGGAGGGGGAGGGCGTGGCTTGGGGAGGGCGTGGCTTGGGGTTGCCTTGGGGCTGTTCGACGGGGGCTCCTGCCCGCACACCCTTTCTCGGCTCTCGATTGGCTCACCGAGCCGTCAGTCAGAGCTCTCCGCGCAGTGATTGGTAGAGCGGCGCAAAGGGGAGGGGCGAGAGGAAGCGGAGGCGGAAGCGGAAGCGGGGGGATCCGGATGTGAGCGGAGGCCGGAGCGGGGAAGCCCCATGGAGGGAGCGGGGCCGGTGAGGGGCTGGGAGCGGGGGGGGCGCTATGGGGGGAACGGGGGGGTGGTTGTGGGGCTGGGGGGTTATGGGGGTCCCTGCTATGGGGGGAACGGGGGGTGGTTGTGGGGCTGGGGGGTTATGGGGGTCCCTGCTATGGGGGGCACGGGGGGGTGGTTGTGGGGCTGGGGGCTTATGGGGGGCCTGCTATGGGGGGCACGTGGGGGGGGTGGTTGTGGGGCTGGGGGTGTTGGGGGAAGGGTTATGGGGGTCCCTGCTATGGGGGGCACGGGGGGGGTGGTTGTGTGCTGGGGGGTTATGGGGGTCCCTGCTATGGGTGCAGGTGGGGGGGTGGTTGTGGGGCTGGGAGTGTTGGGGGGGGTGTTTATGGGGTCCCTGCTATGGGGGGCACGAGGGGGGTGGTTGTAGGGCGTTGTGGGGGTCCCTGCTATGGTGGGCACGGGGGGGGTGGTTGTGGGGCTGGGGGTGTGGGGGGGGTGGTTATGGGGTCCCTGCTATGGGGGGCACTGGGTACGGGGGGTGGTTGTGGGGCTGGGGGTGTTGGGGGAGCGTGGTTATGGGGTCCCTGCTAGGGGGGGCCAGCCTGGGGGGAGCGGGGTGCAGCACTGATGGAATGGGTGCTGTGGGGTGGTATGGAGGGTGTGGGTGCCCATGGGGGGGGGGTGTCTCTGCCCATTGGGGTCTGTTGGTGCCATTGGGGTTTATTGGTGCCATTGGGGTTTATTGGTGCCATTGGGGTCTGTGTGTGCCCTTTGGGGTCTATTGGTGCCCATTGGGGTCTATGGGTGCCCATGGGGCCTGTGTGCCCTTTGGGATCTATTGGTGTCATTGGGGTCTATTGGTGCCCACCGGGATCTATTGGTGCCCATTGGGGTCCGTTGGTGCCATTGGGGTCTGTTGGTGCCATTGAGGTCTATTGGTGCCCATTGAGGTCTATTGGTGTCATTGGGGTCTATTGGTGCCCATTGAGGTCTATTGGTGTCATTGGGGTCTATTGGTGCCCATTGGGATCTATTGGTGCCCATTGGGGTCTGTTGGTGCCATTGGGGTCTGTTGGGCTCTGTTGGTGCCATTGGGGTCTGTTGGTGTCATTGGGGTCTGTTGGGCTCTGTTGGTGCCATTGGGGTCCGTTGGTGCCATTGGGATCTGTTGGTGCCCATTGGGATCTGTTGGTGCCCATTGGGATCTGTTGGTGCCCATTGGGATCTGTTGGTGCCATTGGGGTCTGTTGGTGCCATTGGGGTCTGTTGGGGTCCGTTGGTGCCATTGGGGTCTGTTGGGGTCTGTTGGTGCCATTGGGGTCTGTTGGGGTCCGTTGGTGCCATTGGGGTCTATTGGGGTCCGTTGGTGCCATTGGGGTCCATTGGGGTCTGTTGGTGCCATTGGGGTCTATTGGGGTCCGTTGGTGCCATTGGGGTCCGTTGGTGCCATTGGGGTCTGTTGGTTCCCATTGGGATCTGTTGGTGCCATTGGGGTCTATTGTGGTCCGTTGGTGCCATTGGGGTCCATTGGGGTCTGTTGGTGCCATTGGGGTCCATTGGGGTCTGTTGGTGCCATTGGGGTCCATTGGGGTCCGTTGGTGCCATGGGGTCCGTTGGTGCCGGGGGCTCTGACCGGCTCCCCCCGCAGCTCTGCCCGCGCCATGGATGACCTCCACCTGCACTACAGGTTCCTCAACTGGCGCCGGCGCATCCGCGAGATCCGCGAGGTCCGCGCCGGCCGCTTCCAGGAGCGCTCCAAGCACATCCTGGTGGATGGGGACACGCTCAGGTGGGACCCCCCCCCCCCCCTCCAGGGCCCCGATCACAACCAGGGCTGTGGGGAGCTCAGAGCTGCTCCAGTCCCAAGCCCTGCCATGGGGTGCTCCGAGCCCCTGTGTCCGCCCGGATGGGATGGGATGGGATGGGATGGGATGGAGCAGCCATGGAGCCCATCCCGGTGTCCCAATAGGGAAGAGCTTCCCTGGATCCAACCTTGATCCCCCCCCGTTCCAACCTGAACCCCTCACCCCCTGTCCCCATGGCTCCAGCCCCGGGGGCAGGGCCCTCCCCACCATCCCCGTGGCCCCCTCTGCACCCCCAAGGCCCCCTGAGCCCCCGGATGCTTGCACAATTCCAGGGATGCGGATCCCGGCTCTTCCCCCGGAGCCTGTTCCGATGCCTGAGCCCCCTCTGGGGCAGGGCCTGGTGCTCAGCTCCATCCAGACCTGCCCTGCTCCATCCCCCTTTGAGGACCCGCGAGGTCCATTCCAACCTGGATCCCGGGATTCCTTCCCGGGAGCTGTGGTCCCCCCCTGAGCCCGTTCCTCGTGGGATTTGTGCTCCAGGGCCCTGAGGGATTATCCCATCCCTCATCCCGCTGGCCACGCTCTTCCCAACCCAGACCAGGATGCCCTTGGATCCCAGCACCCTCACAGGGAAGAACTTCCCTTGATCCAACCTGTTCCAGTCTGAACCCCTCACCCCTTGTCCCATCACTCCAGCCCCACTGTTCCCAGCCTGGCTCCTATGGGAGCTGCTCCAGCCCCTGAGCATCCTCGTGGCCTCCTCTGGACCAGCTCCATGTCCTTGCTTTGGGGGCACCAGCACTGCCCACAATGGGGTCAGGATCCCGCTGTGGGGGTGCAGCCCTGCACTGGGGGGGGGGGGGAGCTCCTCACACCCCAAGTCTGACACCCCCCCCCCATGGTCCCCCCATCCCATCCCCATTGCAGCTACCACGGGAGCTCTGGCGAGGTCGGCTGCTACGTGGCCCCACGGCCCCTCACCAGGGACAACAACTACTTCGAGGTGACACTATGCTTTGGGGGGGGGATGTGGGTGTCCCGATGAGCTTTGGGGCTCATGGTGTTTGTGACCCCAAAGGTGTCCATCGTGGACAGCGGTGTGAGGGGCACCATCGCCGTGGGGCTGGTGCCCCAGTTCTACAGCCTGGACCATCAACCCGGCTGGCTGCCCGGCTCCGTGGCCTACCATGGTGATGATGGCAAGTGAGTGTTGGTTGAGGGGGGGCCCAAAGGCATCTGCTAGGACCTGAGGGGGTTGCCAGGACCAGCTGGACCCCCATCCCCATGCTTTACAGTGTCTGCCCCCCCCCAGGCTCTACAGTGGCCGGGCCAAGGGCCGTCAGTTCGGCTCCAAGTGCAGCTCCGGCGACCGCGTTGGCTGCGGCATCGAGCGCGTGTCCCTGGAGGTGCGCACGGCGCACGTGTTCTTCACCCGCAACGGCAAGAGGTGAGAGCCCATTGACACCCACTGACCCCCATTGACACCCACTGACCCCCATTGACACCCACTGACACCCGTTGACACCCCCTGACACCTGTTGGTACCCGTTGACCCCCCTTGACATCCATTGACCACCCTTGACATCCATCGATACCCCCATTGACACCCACTGACACCCGTTGGTACCCATTGACCCCCCTTGACATCCATTGACCCCCCTTGACATCCATCGATACCCCCATTGACACCCACTGACGCCTGTTGATACCCATTGACCCCCCTTGACATCCTCTGACCACCCTTGACATCCATCGATACCCCCATCGATACCCCCATTGACGCCTGTTGATACCCATTGACTCCCCTTGACACCCATTGATATCCATTGACCCCTTTGACATCCATCGATACCCCCATCGACACCCATCGATACCCCCATTGACACCCACTGACACCTGTTGATACCCATTGACTCCCCTTGACATCCATTGATATCCATTGGCCCCCTTGACATCCGATACCCCCATCGACACCCATCAATACCCCCATCGACACCCATCGATACCCCCATCGACACTCATCGGTACCCATTGGCACCCATCGACACCCATTGACACCCACTGATACCCAGTGACACCCAATGACACCCCTTGCTAGCCATTGACACCCATTGACACCCACTCATGCCCCTTGATACCCACTGGCACCCATTGATACCCACTGACACCCTCTGACACCCATTGATACCCGTTCACACCCGTTGACACCCACTGAGACCCACTGAGACCCAGTGACAGCTGTTGATGCCCACTGACCCCCATTGATTCTCTTGTCACCCATTGACACCCTTGTCACCCACTGATACCCACTGACACCCGTTGACCGCCTTGTCACCCATTGACACCCGTGGACACCCATTGACACCCTTTGATGCCCACTGACCCCCATTGACACCTTTGTCACCCATTGATACCCATTGACCCCCCCATTGACCCCTGGAACACACTGATCCCCATTGACCCCCCCAAAAACCCCTCATACCCCCCATTGCGCCCCCAAACTCCCCTATTTAACTCCCAAATGCCCCATTGTCCCCTGAAACCCTCACACCCCAAATCCTCCATTGTCCCCCCCCAACCCCCATTACCTCCCATTTACCCCCCCCCCAGCACCCCTCAAAAGCCCTCCTGGCCCCACAAACCCCCCTTTGCCACCCAAACCCCTCCTGACCCCACATTGACTCCCCCAAACCCTTCCTAAGCCCCCATCGACCTCCCAAAACCTGAACCCCATTGAACCCGTAACAGCCACCTGTACCCCCCATTGCTGCCCATTAGCTTCCATTACCCCAATACCCCCCCATTACCCCATTGCCCCCGTTACCCCATTGCCCGTTACCCCCATTATCCCCCATTGCCTCCATTACCCCCACTACCCCCATTACCCCCATTGCTCCTTTACCCCCATTGTCCCCCATTGCCTCCATTGCCCCCATTACCCCAATTGCTCCATTATTCCCATTTCCCCTCTTGCCTGCATTAACCCCTATTGCTCCATTACCCCCATTGCTCCATTACCCCCATTGCCTCCCATATAGCCCCATTACCCCCATTGATCCATTACCCCCATTGTCCCCATTACCCTAATCCGCCATTGCCCCATTACCCCCATTACCCCATTGCTCCAATACCTCCATTTGTCCATTACCACCCCCATTGCCCCCGTTACCCCATTTCTCCGTTACCCCAATACCCCCATTACCCCATTGCCCCCTTACCCCTACCCCCATTGCCCCCTTACCCCATTACCCCCTTGCCCCCATGACACCCATTACCCCCCTTTACCCCATTACCCCCGTTACCCCCATTACCCCCTTACACCCATTGCCCCCATTACCCCCATTACCCCATTACCCCCATTACCCCCATAACCCCCATTACCCCCATTACCCCCTTTACCTCATTACCCCCATTACCCCCTTACCCCTGTTACCCCATTACCCCCTTACCCCCGTTGCCCCCCTTACCCCCGTTACCCACATTAACCCCTTTACCCCCAGTCCCCCCTTACCCACTTACACCCGTTACCCCATTACTCCTGTTACCCCCAGTTCCCCCCTTTACCCCATTACTCCCATTACCCCATTGCCCCCATTCCCCCCTTACCCTCCTTACCCCCATTCCCCCCCTTACCCCCCTTACCCACCATTCCCCCCTTACCCCCTTACCCCCATTCCCCCATTCCCCCCTTACCCCCATTCCCCCATGACCCCATTACCCCCATTCCCCCCTTTACCCCATTACCCCCCCATTTCCCCATTACCCCCATTCCCCCCCTTACCCCCATTTCCCCATTACCCCCTTACCCCCATTACCCCATTCCCCCATTCCCCCCTTACCCCCCTTACCCCCATTCCCCCATTACCCCTTACCCCCGTTCCCCCCCTTACCCCCCTTAACCCCTTACCCCCATTCCCCCCTTACCCCCATTCCCCCTTTACCCCCTTACCCCCGTTCCCCCCCTTACCCCCCTTACCCCCCTTACCCCCATTACCCCCATTCCCCCCTTACCCCCCTTACCCCCATTCCCCCCTTACCCCCATTCCCCCATTACCCCCTTACCCCTGTTCCCCCCCTTACCCCCTTACCCCCCTTACCCCCATTACCCCCATTCCCCCCCCTTACCCCCTTACCCCCATTCCCCCATTACCCCCTTACCCCCATTACCCCCATTACCCCCTTACCCCCATTCCCCCCCCTTACCCCCCTTACCCCCATTTCCCCATTCCCCCCTTAACCCTTCCCCCGTTGTTGCAGGTGGGCTCCACGGAGGTGCCGCTCTGCGCCGAGGGGCTCTTCCCGGCCGTGGGGATGCATTCCCTGGGGGAGGAGGTGCGGCTGCACCTGCGGGCAGCGCTGCGCCCCGAGCCGACGACTGCATGTTGGTGGACAGTGGGGAGGAGGAGTGGGGCCGCCTGCACGACGTGCGAGCCTGCGGCACGGTCAGAGACGGGGGGGGCGTCCGGTGGGGAA